TCCTTTATGGAGTTCTCTATTCTCACTATCTCCAATTCCACTCTCCCCATTCTTTCTTAACACCACCCCAACTTTACCAAAATGGCTAGCTTTGCCCTCCCTGATAAATCCAATGACCAAATTTTAATCATTTAAGATGAGGCATTTAACGGAATTCATTATTCCTTCTTCCATTTAGCTTCCAATATGCTATATTCTCTTTGTTTTTCTCTTATCTTATGCGTTTCTTCTCTATATCTCCTTTGCTGATTCCCCCTCTTTTCCTGGGCTCTTTAACATTGGAGTGCCAAGGCTCAGCCCTGGGTTCTCTTCTTGTGTTTCTATAACCAACTCTTGATGATTTCATCCAGTATCACAATTTTAAATATGATCTACATCCTTTTGACACCTACATTTCTATTTCTAATCCAGTCCTTTCTCCTGAATACCAGAATTATACATCCAGTTATTTACTCAACACCTCACTCGGATATCTAAGACACTTCAAATTTAACATCTGCAAAACTGATTTCCTGATTCCTTCCCCCAATATGCCAAACCCATTCCACCCAAAATTTACTCTATCTCAGTTGATGATAACACTATCCTTTTTACTGCTCGGTCCAAAAAAAGTTAGAAATAGCCTTTACTCTACTTTCTAACATTCTGTATCTAATCAATCAACAAATACCATTGGCTCTATCCTTCAAAATATATTCAGAAGCTCATTAACTACCAACTGTTACCATAACCATATTGATTCTTTGAAAACCTAAGTCAAAGCACACATGTGCACAAAGTGTTTTGTCTCTCTTATCTTTCTCTCACTGACATACATACATACCACTCATGTCACCTTTAGAGGTGGCCACTAAAGAAATTCTTTACTCTGAAAGCTAGTAATTAATGGGACTTGGGGGTGCGGAAGGAAGCATCTGTCCTATCTTTCCAGTAGAACTGTATTTCAGAATAACAAACAACCCAAGTTGAGAAGGAACAATTCTTCTTTACAGAAGAATAACAGCTAATAAATGTAGAAGGCATGATAACATTAGTAAATCAATAATTTGGAACCCCCTAAGGAAATAACTGATTCAGGAAAAGATCATCCATGTATACAAAACCACTTAATGTAACATTAATGATAAACTGGATATTCACATGGTACCAAAATATCAACCTACAGATAGCTTCCTATTAATATGAGAGGAAAGGTCATTGTTGAATAAAGGGATTAGACTGTCATCAACTTATTGGAACATTAAAAGTCAGGCAGGTATGAGATGTTATGTGGTATGAAACATACAGCACAATCTATGAAGCCTTTTGCCATTAAATATTTTACCTGGACACAGGTAAAATGTTAGCTCTTACACCTAACTCTAAGTACATAAGACAAACAGGAAACAAAGAACAAATTAAATCAACCATGGAAAAGCAATCAGATAAATCTAATGCTTAGAAAGCTAAGAGAGTCTTCCACAATAACGGTCTCAACAAGTCAATGCCATTAAAGGAAGGAAGGTGGGCAGGGGGCAGGGACGGGGGCGGGGGGGGGGTGAGAGAGGGGACACTATTCTAGATTAAAAGAGACTGAAGAATTCTAACAATCAAATACAATCCATGGCCTCTGATTGGATCACTGTTTGAATATAACAGCTATAAATCTATTTGTGAGAAAATTTGGGAAGTCTGGATATGGTCTGAGTTTATTATATAATAACAATCTAGTTAGATATGAAACTGCTATCATGGTTACATAGAAAAAGTCTTTACTTTTAAAAAGTACAAATTCGTGTATTTAGGAGTAAACGTTCATGATATCTGTAATATAAATGATTTCCAAAAAAGTATAACAACATGGTAATAAACTTACTTCTAGGTGACGGGATTATGGGTATTCATTACACTATTCACTCTTTTCTATATGTTTGAAAATGTTCATAATAAAGTGAAAACATAAAAGAGAAACAAAATGAAAAAATTAAGTCAGGTCACATCACTCTCCTACTCAAAATCTTCTAAGAGCTTCATCCAGCATCAAAGTCAAAAACCTTGTGGCACTAGCTCTTTGTGATGTGGTCTCTCATCGTTGACCTCACCGCCTACCACTCTCCCACTCAACCAGTCGGATCCAGCCACACTGATCTCCTTGTTGTTTTCCAGCACATCAGGCAAGCTCACACCTTAAGGCCTCTTGCATTGGCTGTTCTCTTTGCCTAGAGGCTCTTCCCCAGGTATCTGCAGTTTACACCTCCCATCCTTTGTTTCTTTGCTTAAGTTTACCTTTGCAATGAGGTATATACTCACTATTCTATGTAAAACTACAACCTACCACTCCCGCCCTCCCACTCTTCCTTACCCTGCTCTACATTTTTTTGTCCCATCTCACTGCTCACCTTCTAACATACCACATGGTTTACCTCGAATGTAAGCATCATGAAGTCAAGAATTTCTATTTGTTTATAGATGTAGTACCAGCACCTAGAATATTATTGCCTGGCACCCAAGAAGTGCTCGATCAATATTTCTTAAGATTTCATTTTTTTTTTTAAGTAATATCTATACCCAGCGTGGGGCTAAAACTCACAACCCCAAGATCAAGAGTCTCATGCTCCACCGAATGAACCAGCCCCATCGATTAATATTTCTTAAGTGAATGAGGGGCGCCTGGGTGGCTCAGTTGACTGAGCATCTGACTTCAGTTCAGGTCATGATCTTACAGCTCATGGGTTCAAGCCCCGCATAGGGCTCTGTGCTGACAGCCCAGCAGAGCTTCGGATTCTGTGTCTCCCTCTCTCTCTCTGCCCCTCCCCTGCTCATGCTCAATCTCTCTCTCTCTCTCTCTCTCTCTCTCTCTCAAAAACAAATAAGCCTTAAAAATTTTTTTTTAATATTTCTTAAGTGAAAGTGAATAGTGCCTAACCATGACATCACTATTACTATTATTGCCGTGTTTTGAATCCAGAAATCAAGGGGCTATGATATGGGTGAGAGTCATTATCTCCTTCCTCTTTCGTGTGGCAAGCCAACTCCAGACAAGTTTATCTTTTGGTACCCTCACACTTTCTAGTACTCCTTTCTGACCTTTATGCTAATCTTCATGCTGTCCCTAGGCCCTCTATTACAGCCATCCCTGTTATGGGAATCAACCCGATGTGCCTGCCAAATTTTCCAAAATGTGCTCTAAAACAGCTTATATCCCCTATCATCCTTCCAAGTCAAAACATCCAGTATAGGTGATCGCAGGCTGAATCTAGGATAAAATCACTCTCACGGACTTCATAGCAGATAATAATTAGCTTTGCCTAGAAGTCCTAGCATTAAGGAGGTAAGGGGGAGAAGCCTATTATCCAAATAATTCCCAACTAGTGAAAATACAGGTTGTGGGCAAGGGGAGTCAACATTTTCAGACAGTGAAAGGAAGAGGAGAGGACAGAGTCAAGCAAGGGACCAATACACAAGGGTGACCATATATATATCTAGGAGCCAATTCCCAGAGTTACATCCTCCAAGCAGTTCTTCATTTTCATGGCTGTCATTACCTCCCAGACCACAACTTATCTACTATCTTTAACATTTCTTCCTCTACCCTCAGTGGTCCTTAAGACTGCAGATTTACACAAGATAGTTCAGGCAACAAAAACAAAGGAATGTTGTTACACACAGCAATACAAGAGTTACTCTTTCCAATAACAGGTTATTTCTAAATCAAATGTTTCCTGATTGGGTATTTCTTGCATAAGAAAAAGGCCCATCATCAATTTAAAAAAAAAAAAAAAAAGATTATTCCAACACTGACAACCTCAGGAATATTTTAATTTAGCTCAAAGGTGTTATCATTGTGAAGAATATTTTAATATAAAGATCCTTAAATTCTAAAACTCACATTCAACTAATAATACTTGATGTTATGCAGTAGGTCATCATTATTCACTGTAATATGCTCTGAAACCTACAGTCTCCTAAGCCCTAACTTATATTCTAATTAATTATGCCCAAGTTAAATTTCAGCTACCCTATCACTTCAGCAGCTGGCTTCATGTTCTCAAACCCCAAGCATTCACGGCACCTCTTAAGATGTGATGAATACTTGAGATTCTCTCTCCCTGCGCTAGGAGTGGACTCCCTGGATGCTGGTAGGAACAGGAAAAGCTGCCATCACTGTCTATACCTAAGTTCAGGAACTGGCTAGTAATTTAATATGACTAGAATATTAGATTTGAGAGGGGAAAAACACTAAAGATAAGGCTGGAAAGATAGAACGCGGCCAGATTGTGAAGAACCTTTTCTGCCACATTTAGACATTTGAATTTTATCCTGCAGACAAAGGTTTTTGAGCAGTGTGTCGATTCAATCTCTTTTAGAATTTAACAGTAGTGATAACATGAAAGAAGGGCTTAAAGAGAAATAATCAGAGGCACAGACTTGCTACGTAACTATTATAGTGGTTTAAGTGAAAAATGATGTAAAACACGCATTAAAAAATTCCCATGGTCACTGTCTACACAATAAAGTTCTAGACCCTTGACAATCTAAAGTATGCCTATCTTTCCAACTTTATTTCCTCTCTCTTCTTTTCCCTACATTTCACAATCCAGCCACATCAAACTACTTATCACTTTTGAATCTGTAATATACATTCATACTGCCACATCTTCACTTACACTATTTGTTACTTCTAAAAGGACAACTCTCAAACTCCTACTTAAAGGACCAGGTTAAAAAAGAGTTATATCTATAAAATTCTCTCTGATTCTATCTCTCTAAAGGCAAAAATTTATTATGCTTTCCTCTAGGCTTTCACATCACACCATTCATACTACTAACATAGTACTTAATCACATGGCACTGTTAGTTACCCATTTATCTACCACCTCTGCTAGAATGGCTGAGCTAAAACCAATCATTTACAAATATAAGCTGCAAATATAAAACCATGATACACACACACACACACACACATAATATGTGTATGCGCGCACGCGCGCGCACACGCACACACACACACTTTTTTTTACCTGGTAAAACTTGAATTTGAACCCAAGAATATGACACAGTGTTTGCGGTTCACACATACTCATGTAAGATTCTAATAAAGATATAAAGAAGTCATCATGTTCTGGCCTGCATTCAAACACTTCTAAAATGACATCCAAAACTCTATTGGGATCCAGATTAAAGCATCCTGCAACAGATGAGATATACACAAATTCAAGTGATTATACATCATTTCTAATAAAGCCATTAGCATTCAGCTCTTATATGTTTTTAAACACTTTTTTTTTATAAGTTTGCTTCCTCTGCACCAGAGCAAAATCTTTGTAATTTTCCAGATGACCAAGTCCACTCCCCACAGTTTACAGATGAGAAATATGACTTGCCCAGGAAGACAAAGTGGGTTAATAACACAACTAGGGCTGGAGCCCAGGACCTGTGACACTAAGTCAAGCAGACTTTCTTCTATGCCACAATGTCTCAGTTCTTGATTACTCAGGCTAGTGAAAGAGATCCACATATTTAATTCTCAGGAAAATAAGACAATCAAACAATGCATTTACAAGTTAGACGACTAAAGGATTTTCTTTAATGTTTTATGCAGAAGCATTTGGAATGTTGGCAAAGAGTTAGAAGTTCAGGTTCTTAAATGTAGAAGATCATTTTTAGAATCATTTCTCAGTTCATCTTATATATAACAAAACTATAATATAACTGTACCACTGATTTCTGTGGTTTCTGGCAGCATTCTGAAGAGAAAACAAGTATACTACTGATACTGAAGAGATGAGAGAATACCAAGGAGTTGGGGACATAACAAAAGAGTATAGATAACACAAGAGAGGAGGAAAACAGACAATCTAGGTAGAGCAGGAGAAGAAAGCAAGACAAGCACTGAATAGATAGATGCCAATGGCTACTTATTCTTGCTAATCTCTTAGGGAAAGCTAATGAGGGCTGATGGACAGAGATTTAATGGACATTCCTATCAGCCACCCTATTCTTAACACATTATTAATTTCACTTGCATCTAGCTTCACTTGTTACCAAAATTACATTATAGTACAGTCATATCATATGTGTACTTAATTTATGAGAATGCAAACATTTACACACAACAAGAGACAAATAAATTTTTAAAAAACTTAACGTTTATTTATTTTTGAGAGACAGAGAGAGGTAGAGCACGAGTGGAAAAGAGGAGAGACAGACAACGAAGCAGGCTCCAGGCTCCAAGCTGTCAGCACAGAGCCCGATAGGGGGCTCAAACCCACAAACTGTGAGATCATGGCCTGAGACAAAGTTGGACGCTCAACCTACTGAGCTATCCAGGCACCCCAAAGAGACAAATAAATTTAAACAACACAGCAGATTCTACCCACCATTCCTCTCAATAAAATGTACACCTATGACCCTGAGTGAGCATGAAATATCATCTGCTCTTCCTTCAATGTATATCAATTCCCACGTGCCTTGCACATCAAGCTGACTGGAATTCTAGAATTTAAAATTACATTTTTCATTAGACATAGCTCCTAAATGCAAGCTAACCACTTCATTGGGACAAGCAAATAAATAATGATTTCTTCTAATGCTGGAGGGAAGAAAAAAACAGCTGTGATGAACTTACAAATGTCAGTTCTGAACATAGTACATTATAGAGGAGTTCAGAGATTTTTCACAGAAAATTCTTACGTAACTTATTTTATAAGAGAGAGTCCCAGAGTTACTTCTATTAACTCTACACTTATATTTAATGCTATAAAACTAATACCTGGTTCACAGCATCTTAACAATCACTTACAAAACCAAACTATCCAGATATAAAAAGTGTTTCTTTCCTCTTTTTATGAAATCTAAAGTTAAGAAAACATTTTCTTCTATTTCTCGTACTAAGAAGAAAAAAAGACTAACACAAGATCATGTCTTACTGAAAGGAGCTCCAGACTCTCATAAATTCTCCAAAGAAATATTTACCTGAAGTTCTGAGAAGAAAACTTCTAAATATTTTTGCCTCTCCCTATACCCCCAAAAAGTATGGCTTATGAATGTAAAAGTGGCTCCAAAATACCAAATGGAATTTTTTTTTAATTTGAGAGAGAGAGAGCATGTGCACACACATTTGGGGAAGAGGGGCAGAGAGAGAGGGAGGTAGAGAATCTTAAGTAGGCTCTATGCTCAGCGTGGAGCCCAACACAATGCTTGATCCCACGATCCTGGGATGATGACCTAAGCCAAAATCAAGAGTCAGGCACTCAACCTACTGAGCCACCCAGGCACCCAGGAAATGGAAATTTTTAAAGCTGCTAGTGGAAATATAAAACATAAAATGGTACAACTACTTTGTAAAACTGTCAGTTTACTTAAAAGTTAAACTAGTAACTACCCTATGACCCAGCCATCTTGTTCCTAGGTATATACCCAAGAGAAATAAATGACTATGTTCATACAAAGACTATACACAAATACTGATAGCAGCTTTATTTGTAATAGTACACTCTCAAATGTACCAGCATGTAAATGGACAAACTGTAGTTCAGTGTAACTGTAGTAATATACAGTGGAATACTAATTAACAATAATAAGAAATAATACAAGGAGCAACATGGATGAATCACAAAATAATTATGCTGAATAAAATATGCCAGACCAAAAAAAGAAATACTCACTATATGATTCCATTTATAGAAGAATTCTAGAAATTGCAAACTAATCTATAGTGACAGAAAACAGATCAGTGGTTACCTAGAGAGGAGGAAACGGAGTGAAGGAAGATGAAATACAAAGGAGCAAGAGAAATTTGGGGGGAAGGGTGGTAGAAATGTGTATTATCTAGACTGCAGAGATGTTTTCACAGGTGTATACATACATTATAACTCAAATTGTATACCTTAAATACGCAGTTTATTTATGTCAAGTATGCCTGAATAGAGCTGAAAAAACAAAATGCCTCCAACCTGCTCTAACACTGACAGTAAAGATTATGAAATCAAGGCCTAGCAAATTCTCCAGTCTTGTAACTGCTTGAAATTTACTAAATATAAAAATCCAATCACTAAACAAAAATGAATAATACTCTATCAAAGATAAGATATATTAAATATAATTTTGATAAAATTGCTGGTTTATAATTACCCCTCGAGCTACACACACAAAACTTGTAAAATAAGGACCAGGACAGCAACATGTTACATAGAAATGCTGTGTTTCAGTAACAATTGCTTTAAAGTTGAGAGCTTCAGCATGCTGGTGTGAACCGCCCTCATGTTTTTTTTTTTTTTAACAGTATTACTGCAGCAAGGCTATTCTATCAGTGAGTGATCTGTACTGTGAACTATCAATTTCTTTCTAGGTGCAATTTAAGGTAGTAAGATAAAAGAAATGTACTTTTATTTATACCAGATATCAACCTTTGCATCTTTCACAAAAGAAAAACTGGTTTTTGAATTTTCTATTTAAGTGTCTCAGGTGTCATAAGTTAGTCCAACCAGTTAGAATGACTTTTGCTCCATACGATGTTAAAAGTAACCAAACCAAGGATTTAGAAAATGGTTTTTAAAGCCTTAAAGATTTGCTACGTAAGAGTTAAGCTATTTCATATAGAATAAGACTCTAGTAATCATCAGTAAGGTTAGAATGTCCAAAATAATTTTTTTTAATGGCCACTGTGGTAGAACATAGACACTCTTGTATTCAACCATCTTAGAAAGGCTTTTTTGTCTACCCCAAACATCAATAGTCTTGTGCTCTTGAAAGAGATCTGAAGCCTAGCTCCCTACCTCAATCACCAGCTACGTTAGGGATATACACACATATAATGCCTTTATGGCTTTCGAGGAACAAATAGGGAACCATATTGGAAGGGAACAAGTGGAAAAATAAATAAGTGGCAGATATGGAATGTATTCATTCCTTCATTTAAATAAACATTAAATAACTACCTGTTATATGCCAGGTGCTTGTGATATGGAGATTAATAAAAGGCCTAAAAGATTTCACACCTTTTGGATGGCATGTCTTTGTAGCAATGCATTGAAAAGTAATTGAAGTTTCCCCAAAGGTAGACAAGATGACTAAAGCAAGTTCATTAGAGCAAGTGATTGCAACTAGAGTACAAAAAATATTGATTAAACTCACAAATCCTGTTTTAGCAGTAGGCCAAAGTGAGATTCCTGACAGAAAAAAATATCCCAAGGTAATATTGTAAACATGATTGGGAGAGATATCAATCATCATGTTCCTGACAGAAAGGACCTTATGAGACAGAGAAAAACCATGCTGTGAACAGAAGGACATCTGACATCTAGAATTACTTCAGAAACAGGCCATGCTATATAGTCTGAATGCTTGTGCCCCACCCCCCAATGCTTCTAGGCCTTTGAGAGGTGATTAGGTCACGAGAGCAGAGCTCTCATGAATGAGATTAATGTCCTTAAAAAAGAGAACTCCCCTGCCTCTTGTCCCATGTGAGGATACAGCAAGAAGTCAGCAATCTGCAACCTGGAGGAGGCTTTCACCAAGAACCCAACCACACTGGCACCCTGATCCTGGATTCCCAGCCCCTGGAGCTTGGCGAAATACATGTGTGTTGTTCAGAAGGCACCTGCTCTGTGGTAATTTTTTATAGCAGTCCAAACGGACTAAAACAAGCTAATAAAAAACCTACTCTAAAAGACTAGTTCTAAGAAGTAGTATTTGCAAAAAAAAAAACTGCACATCTCAAGGAAAGAACCAGAGAACCAAGACACAAAGAAATGCACCTAACAAAATAAAAGTATAATTGTAAGGGGAGGGGGAGGGAACGTATGCTTGAGAACAGCAACTGCTGTCTTCTTTTTCACAGTGGAAAAAACAACTTCTTTGTAATTAGTATAATAGTAAAGAAACTTCAATAAAGCAAAAACATAGGTAAAGGAGGCAGTCAACTGGCTTCCCTTTCAAAGGAACAGCAGAGCGCGGACACAAAGATAAGATGCTTCTAGGCTGAAGGGCCCATATATCCAGATTGGTCCAACCAAAATACTTGTATTTGGTCCCATACCAGTATTTTATTAATCCAATAAACACTAAGTACGTATACACTTAGTACACTAAGTACACTCACGAAAACTTAGTCAAAGGGGTTAAAAGTCCCACAATTGCCCAAGAATCATTTGGCCTGGGGTCTTATCTCTGGTCACTTGCCAAGTA